CATCGCGTTGGATTCAAATGGATAACCTCGCCTTTGAACTGCAAGTTGGTGATGAATCAGGTAACATACTTTCCATTCCACATTGTAAGAGCAAATACAAAATGGAGATTATCATCATAATTGATCATGATAATAATGTATAAAACTGTAATGATGGTAATGATGATGATAAGGATAATCATAATGACGACAGAGACGATGATAACAATAATGATAATCACAATAATGACGATACTGATAAGGAAACAACAATTTAATAACACCAAGATCACAACAAACATTAAAAATATCGCTTTCTGTCTTAACCTCAGACGGACTGCCTCCCCCTCCCCCTGACCCTTCCCCCCTCCCTGCAGCGCCGTCCGTGACAAGTCCAGTAGTAGCCATCACCCCAGGACAGTGCCCAGGGTGTAGGGTGAGTTCGAAAGTTGTAGTTCATGTGTAGTTGTGAGTAATAGGTGATTCTGACTGTTGATAAGGTGTGAGGAAGTGATTGAGTTATGGATAGTTGTGCGTTATGGGTAGTGGATGATGAATGGTGAGTCATGGGTAATTAGTAATGGATAGTCATGGGTAGTAAGTAATGGATGGTGAGTCATGGGTAGTGAGTAATAAAGGGTGAGTTATGGGTAGTGAGTGATGAAAAGTGAGTAATTAAGAGTGAGTAATGAATAGTGAGTTATGGGTTATGAGTAATTAAGAGTGAGTCATGGGTAGTGAGTGATGAATGGTGAGTCATGGGTAGTAAGTACTGAGTAGTTGTGAGTACTTGGCTGTTGTGAGAAATGGATAGATGTAAATGATGAGTAATTGTGAAGTATGAGTAGCTGTGATTAATAAGTAGTTGTGTTTGTAATGGGTAACTATAAGCAATAAGCAGTGAGTAATGAGTAGTTCAGTGTGTCAAGTTTTATCATGTATTAATAGCAATAGACTGTTTATTTCGCAAAACTGTCGCAAAAGTGAAATAGGCAAATGTGTATTATATCTGCTTCCTAACACTTAGCAAATACGCATATAACTATAGGTCCTAAAGTGCATTAATAAACAGCATAAACGAGCTGTTATAGATGGCATGTGACGCTGTCCATTTACAGGTAATATTTAATGATTCTCTAGCTAGATGTTCTTGTTTGACGTTTTCACATACATTGACACGTGTGAGTGAGTGAGTGTGTGTGTGTGTGTGTGTGTGTGTGTGTGTGTGTGTGTGTGTGTGTGTGTGTGTGTGTGTGTTTTAAGAATCAGCTGATTACAATAAAAAGAGAAGCTTAGAAAACGCAAAATACCCTATTGCAAAAAGTTGTTGTCAGTTTGTTCTTTCATGTTATTGTCCCACAATGGTCAAGGTCTTGCTCTTGGCAAGTTTGTTACCTTCTTAGTCCATCTGTCACCCTGCGTTACATATTATGACCTGCCCACTGCCATTGCTTCATTTTTATACACTTTGGAATATCTTCTTTCTTTCCCTGGCTAATTTCCTAGAGCTATAAGGGGAAATACACACACACACACGCATACACACATATATGTATATATATAATATATATTATATATACGTATAATATACATTATATATACATATAATATACATTATATATATACATATAATATACATTATATATATACATATAATATACATTATATATATACATATAATATACATTATATATATATACATATAATATACATTATATCTGCCTATTTATTTATCTATCTATCAATCTATCAATATATATATATATATATATATATATATATATATATATATATATATATATAAAGAGAAAGATAAAGAGCAAGAGAAGGAGGAAAGGAAAGGGAAAGGAGAAAGAAATATAAATAGATACAGATTTATGAACGTAAACTCAGTAACGTGTACACAACCTTACACACACACACACACACACACACACACACACACACACACACACACACACACACACACACACACACACACACACACATATATAAACGTACGGAAACATATACATTATATGTATTCATGCATTTTGTGAATATATAGACGAACTATATATTTATGTACATATGCACTTTCATATATTGATAGATAGATATTAGTGTACATTTCTCTGCAAGAACGATGTGTTTATGCAAGAAGACATCACCCCATATTTCCTTCCTCAGGTCGGTCGGTTGCAAAAGGAATACACCAGAACCGGGATCGTGCTGGCTATTGTCTGCTTCCCCTGTGGCATCGCCTGCTGCCGCTACATAAGGAAGAGTCGCTGTAATGCGTGCAAAGCTCTCTTTTAAAAGCAACCCCTTGTAAGCCTGACAATTGCGGTAAATTTGATGTGGTTGGGGGGAAAAAAACAGGAAAATCTGTGTATTTGTGCGTTTGTTTTCATTGATTGTTTTTGGAATTCTCAGTAGACTTGTAAGATTATAGATTAAAATAGTTTTTCAATTGCTTCAGAATTTTTATACCCTCATCTGGCATGAATACCTGAACTACATAGTTTTTAAAAGATTATCCTTTCCGAATAGTTGTTAGTAGAGATTCTTGTGTCTCCGTCTCCCCTCCCCCCCTCTCTCTCTACCCCCCCCCCCCTCTCTCTCTCTCTCTCTAAATGACCTGACATTCTCAACAACCAACCGCTTGTCCCATTTGTTCTGCACGCCATTGTATTCATATAATAACCATGAAGATTTAAACATATACTGTGAAAGTGACTGGAATTCTTACCAATAGCATACCCGCATACATGAATACGTCTGTGATTAGGGTAATGAGGTTTGTTGACATGGAATGGGGCAGTTTACGTCTCGGTGGCGGATTTATAGCTTGTTGGCATATGTTATCTTTAGGCTTTACCTGCTCATGCAGTGGAAGTAGACGGCAGTGTAGGTTGTCTGACAGAAATGGATATCGGAAAGACTTACGATAAGAAGCAATGTTCGAAGAAAAAAAGATATAGAAAAAGCTATCGAAGGCTAAATGGAAACATACTGCATTATCGTACGCACACATTTACATGGGACACAAAGTGACATTCACCTCGATAAATCATCGTTGGGTTTAAGAATAGAAAGCCAAGAAATTTAGTCGTGTAATGTAAGAACGAAATTCTTAGATAACAGCAATTTTGAAAAAAAAAAGTTTCGAACAAAGGGCCGGATATTCAATGTCTAAACATTAACCGAACCTTTCTGATGAGAAACTCCCATACCATTTACCATTAGTAGTATCTGAATGAATCTAAAATACATGGTAATACTTCTATTTCTAAGATATTAATCAGTATATATCTTATCAACTTTGGGAATTTCTGTTGTTTGGACTAGACTGTACCTAGCCTTTTCCCTTGACTCGCTAATCACATCATTATCTGCCTTCACCAGACACTCCATCTTCAAATGGAGGAAGTGATGTATATTCTACTAATGATGAATTTCAAGTACAATATGTATATAAGGAGAAAAACTTTAGTTTCTTGATCTCACAACTAACTGAATATTATCGTTATTATTATTGTTATAAATATTAACATTATCATTGTTATAACAATTTTTTTTATATTATTTTCACTGTTGTTATAATTATTATTATTATTATTATTATTATTATTATTATTATTATTATTATCCTTACTACTTCTTTATCAATCTCATTGTTTGCTTTCATTGTTTTGTTATCATCATTGTCATTATCATTACACTCATTATCAACATAATCATCATCATTGGTATTATCATCATTATCATCAATAAATTCACAATCATTATCATGATCCTAATTAATAATAATAATAATAATAATAATAATAATAATAATAATAATAATGATAATACTGATAATAATAATATGATTATCGTTACCATTATCACTGTCATCACTGTCTTCTCATAGATTTCCTTCTTCCTGATCAAGGCTGCAAGAGAGTAAAAGTCAACATCCCCCTCTGAGATGATGTAGGGAGATGAATCAGTTTATGACATTTATTTGGACGCAGCCCTTCGCAAGACCGTAGCCAACCGTATCGTTATCAGAGATTTTAATGTCCGAATTGCCGTAGATTTCAGTCTGAATTGTCCAATGGAGGGATAACTGTAATATTGTTCGCACTGTATGTATGTGTGTGTGTGTGTGTGTGTGTGTGTGTGTGTGTGTGTGTGTGTGTGTGTGTGTGTGTGTGTGTGTGTGTGTGTGTGTGTGTGTGTGTGTGAGCGAAAGAGAGAGAGAGAGAGAGAGAGAGAGAGAGAGAGAGAGAGAGAGAGAGAGAGAGAGAGAGAGAGAGAGAGAGAGAGAGAGAGAGGGAGAGGTAGAGGGAGAGAGAGGGAGAGAGAGAAAAAAGTGCACCTCTTTCTAAGCCAACGGTTCTCAACCTGGCTACCGTAGAGTTATATCTATAGTTATGAAAATGTGTTCATATTGTGTTAGTATCTTCATATATATAGCATTTTTATATATCATAATATCATTAGCTCTATATCATCATGTTATATACAATATTAATATTACCACTGGTATTATATTATAGTATTTAACCTTCTGCAAAGGAAACGTCATGAGGAACAGGATAGTGTCACTAAAAAAAAAAAAAAAAAAAAAATTGGGACTCGCCAACCGGAGCCTTCACTGTCCAAGGAGGGCAACTCTTAACCAAGCCTTGACTTTCCCAAGAAGGACACTTCTTATATAACCGTTTGAGTTGGCTTGGAAGGGCATCTCTGCATGGCTAATTGTATTTCTGTGTTAGCGATTATGCTGACATGTGTAGGCCTGCCCGTAGAAGGGAAAGGCACTGGTTTCTTCATAACTGTGTCTCAGCCTTGCTATTTCGCCTGCTAGTGTGATAACAAGCGAGAATCAACATTATGCAACAGTATAGTAATCATGCATATGAAGCGTACGTGTAGTGTATTTTAATCCACCTTTCCAATAACCATACTAATTGCATAATGACTAATTGACGTTCGTTACTGAGGTGGATATGACCATGCCAAATATCACTCCTTGCATTCTGGTATTCAGC